CTGTTTCCACAAATCTAAATTTTTTGAGAATTAAAGAGCTTTGGAAAATTCAATTCAGATCACTAACAGATAACAAGATTATACTTTATTGCCAAATTTCAAAGCTTAATGGATAAAACAGGAGTTTCATGGATTTACTTCAAAGAAGGAAAAGGTACTGAAAACTGTCATTAGACTGAACAAAGCAGGTTCACCATCAATTGCCATTGTGAATTTGCTTAATACTCAAAACAAACACAGATTTTTGAAGATTTCTAGAACACTTTTGTAGAAATAAAATCACACTTTCAGGAAGAGCCCTACACTTAGAAGTGAGAATAAGTTTTGTTACTACATTTAGAGTGTAAACATCAGAACGTGTCTATACGATGGCCCCTGTGCCCTATCAGCATGAATATTTAATTGTAAAAACAAAGTAAGCTTACTTCGAAAAAAACCAATAACAAACTAATACAGATTATAACAGATAATCTTAATCGAACCATATCTGTAAAAGAAACTGAATCAATAATTAAAAACCTTCAAAATAGAATGTACCAGTTAAGTTTCCCTGGTAAATTCCACCAAACACTTAAGGAAGAAATGTACCAAAATTCTACAACCTCTTCAAGAAAATAAAAAGAGGAAACACTTTTTAACCCATCCAATGAGGTCAGCATTACACAAATAACACAACCAGATAAATATATGAGGAAAATTACTGATCAGTACTTCTCATAAACACAGATACAAAAGACCTCAACAAGATATTAGCACACCAAATCTAGCAACTTATAAAAAAAATCAAGTCATACTACAATCAAGTCAGATTTATTCCAGATACAAAAGGCTAATTCAATTTATGTGAAAATAGATTAATGTCATCCATCATACCAATAGGCATCAGAATCATATTAGGCATCATATCAACACAAGTCATATGATCATATAAATAAGTGCAGAAAAAGCATTTAATGAAATCCAACAACCATTCATGACCAAAACACCAACAAACTAGGAATAGAGGGAACTCTCTCAATTTGATAAATGACACCTACAAAAGTCTATGCTGCCAAGCATGGTAGTGTATTTCTATAATTCCAGTTCTGGGAGGCTGAGGCAGAAAGACTGGGAGTCTAGGGTCAATTTGGGCTATATGGTGATACTCTGTCTCAAACAAACAAAAAACCCGTATGTTATCTCCTGACTGGGATGAAGGTAAAAAAGGATGCCCTCTCTTACTACTCCTATTCATTATCAGAATTCCTAGACACTGCACTAAACCAATAAAAAAAGGAAATAAAATTTACACAGATTGAGAAGGAAGATATAAACCTGTCTTTATTGAAAATGACATAATTTTGACTGGAGGTATGGCTCAAGCAGTAAAGCCTGCCTTGTAAATGTGAAACCCTGAGTTCAAACCCCAATATCAAAAAAGAAAAAAATACCCCCCCAAATAAAAACAAAATGACACAATTTTCTTTATAGAAAATTCCAACAAAAAAATTCTAGAACTAATAAGTAATAATAGGAAGGTTGCAGGATAGAAAGTCACAACCAAAAGTTCAATTGCCTTCCAATATAGCAGCAATGAGCTATTAGAAATTGAAATAAAAAACCACAATACTATTTACATATTTACATTAGCATAGAGAGAGCAAGAGCACACACGAGAGACAGAGAGAGAGAGAGAGAGAGAAATACAAGAAATACTTAGTTATAAAAATAATAAAATATGCACAGAACCTTCTGAGGAAAATCACAAAGTTTAAATGAAAGAAATCAAAGATTTAAATAAATGGATAAATTCCATGCGTGGATAAGAAGACTCAATAGTAAGATATCACTTCTTAACCAGGTGCTGGTGGCTTAGACCTCTAATTCTATCTACTTGGGAGGCTGAGATTGGAAGGACTGCAGTTCAGGGCTAGCCTGGGCAAACAGTTTGCAAGATCCCATCTCCAAAATTAATGACATCAAAATGGACTGGAGGTGTGGCTCAAGCAGTAGAGTGCCTGCTTTGCAAGTGTGAAGCCCTGAGTTCAAACCCCAGGCCCAACTTGATCCAGATTCAAAACAATTCCAATCAAAACACAAGTTATCTTGTACCTACTAACAAATTCATACTAATGTTTATATTAACAGGCAAAAGACCCAGAATGGCCAGCACAATGCTGAAGAACAACGAGGACTGATCCAGCCTAACGTCAAGATTACACTTAACTACAGACCTACAGCAATGAAGACAATATGATATTATCAAAAGACTAGGCCAGTAGATTAATGGAATTCAGAACAATGGAGCCCCAAAACAGATCCACAGAAATAACTCTCAACTGATCTTTGACAAAGGAGCAAAAGTAATTCAGTGGAGAAAGGATAGTCTTTTCAACAAATAGTGATAGAATAAAAAGACACTTACATGCAAAAAAACGGATTTAGACAGACCAAGTACATCCTTCGAAAAATTAAACTATGCAATTCCTAGAGATTAACATAGGAGAAAAGCTAGAAGACCTTGGCTACGGTAATGACTTTTGAGACACAACACCAAAGACACAAACCATTAAAGAAGTAACTGGAAAGCTGGACTTCATTGAAATTAAAAACGTCTGCTCTCTGTAAAGACAATGTCAAAGGAATGAGAAGATTAGCCAAAGACTGGGAAAACGATCCAGCAGTTGTGAGCTAGCTGCTATAGTGAAGACCGAGGGGAGTACACATATCCCAGGCAAGTACTCTAATAAAGGTGTGAAACGACATTGATAAAGACTGCTGAGCACAAATCACCTTTGTCAGAATTTGCCCAATGGAAAAAAGATAATTTACATTACTTTCTTCAATCCTGACATTGTAGAATGACTTAAAATACCAATTCCCCATCTATCCTCAATGTCAGTACATGCTATAAATTATGAACCCTAACTCCCAATTAAATATGTCGAAGTTGTTAAGAATAAAGATACTACTAATATTAGCTAGGTATAAGATGTTTTCCCCCCAGTGGTGACCATAAATAGAACAAAGTACCTATATAGAAAGTATAATTTTGCTTTTCCATTAACATATAACAGAAAATATTTAACTTTAATAAAGTTGTTATTTTCAAAGTCCAGCATGGTGTCACACACCTGTAATTCCAGCACTTGGGAGGCTGAGGCAGGAGGACTGTTTTCAAGGCCACCTACGGTTACATAGCGACATCATCTCAAAACATCTAAAACAAAAAAATTACCTTCAGGTAGTGGCTCAAGTTTAAATTCCAGGTGTCAGCATTCTATTGGCCATTTTTTGTTCATTGAAATCACTCCTTTTGGTGGTACTAAATCATAATAGTGGTAGTTTCATTTATGTGAAAGCTACAATTGTGTCTTCACAGTAGCATTTTCTCTGTAATAAAAAGGTATGTAATATATATTTTATTTTTCTACAAATAAACTACTAGATTTCATCATGCAGGTTTTATTAAGAAATAGCCATTGCCAGCCTCATATGATACAACGGTCAATCAACTCAGTCAAAGAGAACTAAAGACTAAGATTGACTTAACTGCCTGTGTCTTGAGTTAGATGGCTTAACCTCTCTGTGCCTGTTTCCTCATCTAAAATTAGGGATTTAGGATAAGGTTTTGTTTCAGCTCTCACATTCTACAACTACAACTGAAACAAAGACCTCTGTAGTAACATATATTTTTCTCATCAAAAATATTTACTAAATAGGACATATTTTGGAAATACAAGAAGCTTAAAAATAAAAGCTTCCCTCCCTATGCCCATGTCCCCAATCCTAGAACTGATAAATCTATTTTTGAAATAAGAAGTACTGGGATTGGATAAAAGGAGCAGAAGAACTATTAAATATGGAGTCTAGATAATTGACAATAAGTAGACTTCAAAAAACACAATTTTTCTAACAAATTGCTGTTTAGAATGTAACATTACAAAAGTACATTTTATCCTACATAAAATAAAGATTAGGAAAAAATTGTAAGTTTAGTACTTCAGCGTTATTTATAGGGAAAAAAAGCCTTTTATTATTTATAAATAGTAAATGCATGGCAGTGATGGCAGGGGAAAGAGACTAGGCTATTTTCACTCTTATCTATCAAGGCTCATACTTGGCATACTGCTGTTTTGATTTTATTCAACAAGCAATTCCATTTATTCAAAACTTTCTCAGGTGTAATTTTTTTTTTTTGGCAGTACTGGATTTTTTCTTTTCTAGAACCATACTGGGGTTTGAACTCAGGGCTTTGCACTTGAGAGGCAGGCACTCTACTGCTTGAGCCATGCCTCCAGCACTTTTTTGGTTTGGTTATTTTATAAATAAGATCTTACTTTTTGCCCAGGTCAGCCTGCACTGAGATCCTCCTACCATAAGGTTCCATGCCCGGTTTTTCTGCATTGAGATGGGATCTCGAAAACTTTTTTACCCAGGCTGGCCTTGAACAGCAATCCTCCTGATCTCAGCCTCCCAAGTAGAAGTTACAAGCTGTGAGCCACTTGAAATTTAGTATTACTTTAAGTCCAGGTACCTTGGTTAATGTACCAAGAGTTAAAGGATTTTGAAATCCATTCAATATCAGTATCAAATCTTATTAACTACATTAAAAATATTGTTCAATTGCTAAAAAGTACTTTAGAAAATATAACTTCCCTCATCTTTTAGATAGGTAAATGACAAACTGCTTCTTTTGTGTTCTGTACAAAATTACTATGAATCAGTGGTGTCAAAATTAAATGAAGACTTCTCATTCACAAATATTTTAATAAGGAGGGATTTCGAAAGTTATATTAGGGCTGTGGCTATGGCTCCACTGGTACCGTGCCTGCCTAGCAAGTGCAAGGGCCTGAGTTCAGACCCCAGTACTATTAAAAAACAAAACACAACAAAACAAATATCTCAGTATTGCCAAAAAAAAGCTGCAAGTTAAATCAACATCAAAATTTTAAATGTACATAAATATATATGAACAATGACCTACTTGAACTTTTAATTTTTTATTTAAAAAAATCTGAGGCTGATATTTACAATGCTTCTCTTATTTAAGGTTTGCCCTCCCTAAAAACTTCTAGGTGATCTTAGTTTCTACCCATTTCTTATCTTTCACATATTCATAACTTTACCTCTTTGTTCTTTGAGAGCTTTACAAAATAATTTCATTTAATTTTTACAATTTTTTTTTATGTTATCATTTTTACATTTACTTACATTATTACATTATTATTATTACATTATTGGGCTACCTCCCCCCCACACCCAATTTTTACAATGATTCTAAAGTGAGCTTATTATCTATTTATAGATAAAAAAAATCAAAGCTGCTGAGCACAGATGGCTCACACCTATAGTCCTAGATACTCAGAAGGCAGAGATTGGGAGGCTCGCAGTTTGAAGCCAGCCTGGGCAAACAGTTCGCAAGACCCTATCTCGAAAAAAAGCACTACAAAAATGGGCTGGTGGAGTGGCTCAAGGTGTAGGCCTGAAGTTCAAACCCCAGTACTGCAAAATAAATAAATAAAATAAAAGCTGTCATGGACAGAGGTGTCCCCCTTATCCTCGGGTGACATGTTCCAAGCCCCAAGTGGATGGCTGAAACCATACAGAACACTATAGATACTTTTTTTTAACACATGCAAACCAATGCTAAAGCTTAATTTATAAATTAGGCAGAGTAAGATATTAAAACTAATAATTATAATAATAACTGTAATAAAATTATATGAATATGATCTCTTTCAAAAGTTTATTGTACTGTAGACCTTACTAATGTCAGCACACAACTTTACCCTTCCTTATTAAGAACTTTTACCTTAAATGGATGGAATTGGAGAACATCATTCTGAGTGAGGTTAGCCTGGCTCAAAAAACCAAAAATCGTATGTTCTCCCTCATATGTGGACATTAGATCAAGGGCAAACACAACAAGGGGATTGGACTATGAGCACATGATAAAAGCGAGAGCACACAAGGGAGGGGTGAGGATAGGTAAGACACCTAAAAAACTAGCTAGCATTTGTTGCCCTTAACACAGAGAAACTAAAGCAGATACCTTAAAGCAACTGAGGCCAATAGGAAAAGGGGAACAGGTACTAGAGAAAAGGTTAGATCAAAAAGAATTAACCTAGAAGGTAACACCCACGCACAGGAAATCAATATGAGTCAATGCCCTGTGTAGCTATCCTTATCTCAACCAGCAAAAACCCTTGTTCCTTCCTATTATTGCTTATACTCTCTCTACAACAAAATTAGAACTAAGGGCAAAATATTTTCTGCTGGGTATTGGGGGGGGGGAGCGGGAGGGGGTGGAGTGGGTGGTAAGGGAGGGGGTGGGGGCAGGGGGGAGAAATGAACCAAGCCTTGTATGCACATATGAATAATAAAAGAAAAATGAAAAAAAAAATTAGAAATAAGGGCAAAATAGTTTCTGCTGGGTATTGGGGGGGGAGAGGGAGGGGGCGGAGTGGGTGGTAAGGGAGGGGGTGGGGGCAGGGGGGAGAAATGAACCGAGCCTTGTATGCACATTTTACCTTTTCACTCAAGCACTTTACAGCTTCTCTGGCTTATCTGAATTGCTGAATTGCCAGCATCGTGATTCCTGCAGTTAGTGGAGCACAGGCACTGATACTGATCTGATACCCAAGAAGGCACTAAGCAATTAACAGCCTGGTATCTATAGAGTGGGTACCCGGTGTGCAAAGGGATGATTCTGAAAGGAACTGAAACTAAGGAGAGCAAAACTTCTGAAAAGGTAGAACCGTAATGACTTAAGATCCCAGACCTTTAGGTTTGGAGTCAATACAAAGTGGGGGATGGGAGCATGGTTCAAGTGGTAGAGTGCCTGCCTCATAAGTGTGAAACCCTGAGTTCCACCAAAAAAAAAAAAAAAGAAAGAAAGAAAATAATCAGGTGTATTAGTGCACTTACAATCTCAGGATATGAAGGCAGGAGGATCATGAATTCAGGGTCAGCTGAGCTTACACAGGGACGTTCAAGGCCACCCTGAATTACTTAGTAAGACCCTGTCTCAAAACACCAAGAGCAAAGGATATTGCTCAATGGTAGAGCATGCACAAGGAGCTGGGTTCAATCCCTAGCACTGAAAAAAAAAAAAAAATTAGGACTCCAAAGCCCACGCAGTCTTTATACTATACTACTGTCATCTTTATCCTATACCATACTATGCTATTATATACAGAAAAATATATTTTCCACCCTGTGGTCTTCCAGGTAACAATGTATCTTCATGAGACCCACATAGGAAATGATAAACAACGGAATGTTTATGATAGTCATGGTGGCATATACCTGTAATCCAAGCTACTTGGGAGGTAGAGGTAGGAGGATCTCAGTCCCCAGGCCAGCCTAGGCAAAAGCACTATACCCTATCTCAAAAGCAAACTAAAAGCAAAAGGATTGGGGGGAAAAGAGGGAGAAGGAGTGGCTCAAGTGATAAGAGCACTAGAAAGCTTGAACCCTGAGTTTAATACTCAGTACTGGGGGAAAAAAAATTTCCAGTAATGTTCTAACTAAACCTAAGAAAAATCCCAAAAGTAAAAGCATTAGCTATACAAGGTATTGCTTGGAAGCAACAACAAACATGACACATTTAATCACTGTAGGGAAAACCCAAAACATTGTACTGGGTGTTCTGTTCTTTTGCAACACTTATCAACTGATTTTTCTTTAACTAAAGGCCCCAATCAAATAATATAAGCATTTTAGTGAGTTCAATATTTCAGCTTTGCAAATTGAAGTCTTATATTTTAAAAAAGCATATACTGCTGAATTCATTTTCTGTATCCTAATTATTTTTTTTTCATTCAAATTACGATCAAACTGTATTGACTATCAGGTACTGTATATTCTTAGTTTTATCAGTAAATATGGATTCAATAGCAAGACTTCTGTTACGGTGTTTCAAGATTCAGACACCTCAACTTACTCAATGTGTAAATCCTCACCATTACAATAACTCACATCTAAAGGGCCATACTTCTGTGATTCCTAACAAGTGATTTTCTGGGACTTTGAGCACACACGTGTCCTCATTTGATTCTTCCACCTATGTGGCTATTCTCCCTCATCTGTTCATGTCGGTAAAACTTCTAGTCAAACTTGAAAGCTATTATGCTGCTAATAACTAACACTTACTGAGTGCTTCTTTTGTGGCATATAATTCTCAGGCATTCTGGTTCCGGGGCATGCATTCCATAAAGGTGAGTACAGTGAAAATAGTCGTGCTTTTATTGTCATTGCTCTCTACGATTACCTTTCACTTCCAACTGTATAAATCACTTCTAACTTTCTACAGATGATTTAAGTAGTAGACATCTACTTAATTGCAGTACATCTTTACGCACCAAAAAAGGAAAGCTTTAGTTGTCTTCACCTGCACACATACTGCTACGCCCATACATTCTGCAATCCAGTTCTGCCTGATCCTAAATTGCTCTCTTGAAGACCCCCTCTTGGAGCTTTCTTTCGGGAGAACGCCTTACAAAGTGACTTTGGGATCTGGAGAGTAGTACCTCCATCCATCCTCCTTCAGAAAGAAACCATAATTGAATTAAGAGTAAACATCGAAACCACTGAGACCAAGACAGGCCTCTGAGTAACTTCAAAACAAAACAAAAATGTCAAAAAGCAGGGGAGAAATGCAAGAGGACGCCTTTCCTCTTGAACCCAAGGTGAATGGCTCAGAAAGGGGGACCCTGCAGGGCGGAGCGGCACGCGGGGACCGTGCGCCCCCACCCCGGATCCGGTTCGGGTTCTCCTCGACGCGGCGGTTCGTCCGCGGGCTCAGCCACTCTCCTCAAAACACCCAACCTCTGCCGACCGCCCTCCCCAGGCCCGCAGCCCCCGCCCGGCCGGAGGCCAGAGGCCCCCCACCCCCCATGGAGGACCGCAAAAAGGCCCCGGGGCTGGGCGCGCTGGGCGCCGTAAGCGCAGTCCGCGGCGGGGGCGGCGGCTCACGGCTCCCGAGTCAGGAGGGGACCGGTGACGCGGAAGGGTCAGAGGGGGTTGGGAGGTGACGTTCTGTAGGTTCAAGCACGCAGCTCCGCCGAACCTCCGCCTCCCCCCGGCCCTGTCACTGCCGACAGCCCCACCAGGCGCGGAGGGAAGTCCGCCAGAACAGAGGGGAGAAAATTCAAAACGAGTCTACTCAACCTCGTCTTGGCTCCGAGGCCCCGCCATGGAGACCAGCACAGTGCGCAGGCGCGCTCCTGCGGGCGGTACGCGCATTCCCGCGAAATAGGACCTCAGTCGGCCACCGTCACCAGATTCCCTTCCGATTCGTTCTTTTTTTCGTATTTCCGCTCCTCGTTCTCCGACATCTAAAACCTGAGGCTAGAGGTGAGAAGCGTGAAGCAATCCTGGCAGAGTCAGCTTCTGGTTGGAAATACGCATAAAAAATTGGGCAAGGCTGAAGACAGCTTTGATAGCTGTACGGCTGGAGTTCGGAGCATTTCATGCGAATAAGCTACAGCCGGACAAAAAACTACAATTCCCAGAGGACATAGCGTCCGAGCTGCGCTGCCTTCCGGGAGTTGTAGTACCCACCAGGTGTGTTAGAAATCACTGGCCTAAGGGACAGTCATTTTTCTTAAAAAAAAAAACATTTGAGTTGGGCCTTTCCGTATCTTCCCGATCCGCCACAGACCTCAATGTATGGGAAAGAACCTAAAAAAGATTAAGGGAACGCGCTGCCTTTAAGACTATGCTTTTTCTAATCGATGAGCCCTAGATCTAGCAATAGGTAGTTGATGTGTGCGGACTGGCTTCTGGGCGGGACCTCGTGGTGCCTTTTGCTGAGGAGAAGCCGGGCTTCCGCGGCAGTCCTCTCTTCCCGAGCTGCTTCTGTAGTGTGAGGAGATCGAGCTCTGTTCCGTGACTGCTCACCGCACGTTCTGTGTGCGTCTCGTGGTCCCGCCATGGCTCAGCTCCAGACGCGCTTCTTCACCGACAATAAGAGGTAAGAGAGCAGCGGCCACCCGCTTTCGATCCTCTCCTCTCCCGACCCCGGTGCGACCTCGCGGCTCCAGCTGGCCTCCGCTCCCCCGGCCGGCTCCTCGCCAGGTGTCTCGGGCCCCCTGTCTGCCCAGCTTGGGAAGCTCGGGTGACCCGAATCGTGAACCAGGTGACACTTGTGATCCGCGTCGCGCGGCTGAGTCTTCGTGTCCGAAGGAGGTGACAGAGGGCGCCTCTCTAAAGCCAGGCAAAGGCAGAGCGGTCTCCGCCGTTGTATGCCTGTGTATATGTCAATCGTGTGCATGCAGAGAAGGACAGACGGAAGCCCAGTTATGCACTGCCTTGTATATTTTGCACTGTCGATTTTGTTTGCGTTCGCCTGGCCCCTTGAAGGCAGGGACTGTGTATTAAGCTTCCTCGATTGCCTGCGTCGACAATGCTAATAATGAAGTATATATATTTGTTGGATTACGCTGATGTCAGGTATAAACTAGAAAACTTCAACCTCTCCTCTTGCATTATTTTTTATGGTATGTATAAATCATATTATCAACGCACGTGAATTTAGCCTTAATATTTCGATGTGATGGTGCACTAGCATAACCACAGTATTTTTAAATGAAATTTTTATTAAGCTAATTGTTCACATGAAGTGGTAAAAAAACAATAGGCCACCGTATTTTAACCCTGAAAATAAATAGATATGTGTGTGTTTAGGTTTCCAAAAGATAATGAAACTTAGAAATTAAATTTTGGGGGGGGGTGGTATTGGGGTTTGAACTGAGGGCCTCAGGCTTGCTAGGCAGGTGCTCTACCACTTGAGCCACTCTCTAACAGCTCTGTTTTGTGTTGGGTTTTTTCGAACTAGAATCTTCCCAACTATTTGCCCAGGCTGGCCTCCCACAGCGATCTTCCCAATCTCTGCCTCCCGAGTAGAAATTAAACTTTTTGCTTCTTCCTTTCAATTAATATATTTGAGTCAGTAAAATGAGTGGTGAAACTAATATTAAACACAAACGTATAAATTACACATACTGAGTGTGTGTGAAAAAGAGAACCATGCTTCCTCCTACATTTTACTGAACAAAATACTATAAGAAAGAAGCAAAGATTTTAATTTCTGGGGGCTGGTAAAGTGGCTCAAGTACAAAGTACCTGAGTTCAAACCCCAGTGCTGCCGAAAAAACTAATTTCTAGGTTTTGTTACCTTTTGATGAACTTAAATAACTGCTTACTTTGGGGGCACATGATAAGTTACAGCTTCAAGGTGGTGTGTGAGGACTAACTGCATCATACTTGCAGAGCTGTAAAACAAACTGTGGCCACAGTCGATTTAGAACATTTTTCATCAGTGCTCCCAGCCCTAGGCAACTACTGGCCAACCATCTTTCTCTGTAGATTTATGTATTCCTGACAGTTTGTACAAACAGAACCACATAGTATGTGGTCTTTGTGACTGACTTCTTTCATTTATTGTGGTGTTTTCATGGTTCATCATGCTGTAACATATCTTTGTACTTCAATCTTTCTATGGCCAAACAAATCATTGTATGAATATACCACATTTTTCTATTCTTGTCCACTTGATTATATTCAGTTTCTATCTTTTAGCTACATAGAATGGTTATGTGAACATTCATGTAACAAGTGTGAACACATGTTTTCATTTCTGTTTGGGACACCTGGGTCAGATGGAAATTCACTAACTTTGGGAGGAACTGCCAGACTTTTCCAAAGCAGCTTACCATTTTACATTACCACTAGCAATGCATGAGGATTCTAATTTCTCCACATCTATACCAACACTTTTTTTTTTTTTTTTTTGAGGTCTGATCTTTTATTTGTTATTCTTATTTTTTTCCTGGACTTGAATGTAGAAGCTCTCAGAGGTGACAGCCTGCATCTCTTGGCAGTCTGTTCCTGGTATTTTTCTTTGGCTTCCTTCTTTCTCATCCAAAAGTTTAGCATATTCTGCAGCCTTTTCCTTATTTTTCTTGTGTGCTATTTATTGAGAGTAATTCCTGGTGTTTGTGTTGCAGGACACATGGAATAACAAGATGCTGAATATGGAGTGCTTTGATGTGGGTTTCTTACCTTCTGTGTTTAAGAGCTTTCTGACATGATTGCAGTCATATCAGCATCTTTGAAAGACTGAAATGTTTGTAGATTCTGCTAGCTCTTTTTGACCCCAGATCTTGAGGCACAAGTAGTATACATCAGTCAGTAATACTTCTCTCCTATTTTTACAATAACCAAGTTGAGACCACTCTGATTGGCATCCACAGTGCAACTCTGAACAGATTTGTGCCTTCTGTCCATATCTCCATGAAAAACCCCTTACTTAGTAGCAGGCAAACTCTGTGGTGGATCAAGACATCCTGCTTCATGGGAAAACCTTGTGGTTTCCACCACTGATTCAGATCCCAGAACCCTTCTGTCCTTTGGTTTGTTGGCTTGTTTTTTTTTGTGGGGGTGGGGTGGGGGGTAACAGGGACTTGAACTCCAGGCCTATACCTAAAGCCACTCCACCAGTCCTTTTTTGTGATTTTTTTTTTTTTCAAGATAAGATTTCTCGGACTATTTGTTAGGGCTGGCTTCGAACCGTGATCCTCCTGATCTCTGCCCCCTGAGTAGCTAGGATTACAGACATGAGCCACCCGACAACCCTTCCATTCTTTACCTAGAACATTGGCAGCAATGGTGTAACCGTACACCTCTCATAAAAAGTATAAAGTTTGCATTCATCGTCCACTTCAATGAGGTTCTGACAGCCAGTGGCGTGAATGGAGGTATGCAGCTTCATCTTAGTGCAGCTGATCACCTTACCAACATTTTTTATTATGAAGTGATACTTCACTGTGGCTTAGTTTGCATTTTCCTGATGAATAATGATAAGCATCTTTTTATGTGCCTATTGGTCTTTTCTACTTCTCTAGAACACTGTCTATTCAAATCTTTTGCCCATTTAAAAAGTTGAATTGTCTTTTAATTACTGAGTTATTTTCTTTTTTACATTCTGGATATAAGTTCCTTATCAGATACATGAATTAGAAGTATTTCTCTCTTGTGAGTCTCCTGATCTGCCTCCTGTCCTGTATTTCTCTAATCCAGTCTCTGTTACAGACAGAAAGATCTAATTAAACAAAATTCTGATTACTTACTCTTTAACTTGAACTGCTACAATGGTTTCTTGTTGCCTACAGAAAGAAGTTAAGGCTATTTCACACAACACTGTGTTTAAAGTATCTACATACATCTCTTCAACCTCATGTTTGATCACCACATAAAACAAAATCACACTTTCTGAAATAGTAGCTTTTCCTAACTATTGTTTTGTTGTTCTCCCTGCTTTCCTACCATCCACCCCTTAAGCCTCCTCCATCCCATTTCCTGCCTAGCCTAACCTACCTGGCAAAAATCACTTGTCTAAATGTGGCTTAAGAATATCTTTCTTATGCATCCATCAGACCCTACTCTTCCATTCCTTTTCTCTGGCTGAAATGACCTGCCACTTCATCACTTCTTAGTTTTTCATTTTATAAATTAATATATAAGTTATATAATTATACATATATATCACTTAAGATGTCATTTTTATGTAGCTTTGTTGCATTTGTTATCAGACTTTAATCTCTTTGGGGAACAGAAACATCTTAATTCATTTTATTTGCTCCTTGTACCAAAATGGCATGTAGTAGGTACCCCACAAATGTTTGTTGAATGAATAAATGCCCATTTGTTAAAATACCTGTAGACTTGATCTTGACATATCATTTCCTTTTTTATAGATATGCAGTAGATGATGTTCCCTTCTCAATCCCTGCCACTTCTGAAATTGCGGACCTTAGTAACATCATCAATAAATTGCTGGAGGCCAAAAATGGTGAGTATTATGCTCTTGAAAAACTAGGAGAGGATGCAATACTAAGAGCTACACTAAAATACATTATATTTTCTTTTGAATTTTTTTTTCTTTTCTTTTTTTTTTTTTTGGTAGAACTGGGATTTGAACTCAAGGCTCATGCTTGCTAGTCAGGTGCTTTACCACTTAAGCCACTCCTCCAGCCCTCCTTTTGAATTTTTTAACAAGATTTATAAATTGCAGCATACATATTTCCTGCTGGATAGTTTGAAAAAAGTTCTCAGAAAAAATATTTCTGTTTACTCTGCCTTTTTAAGTAATATGTTATTTTTTAAGTAAGGTGGTTGTAATTAGGAATAAAGATTTTAGTATACTAGTTGTAACATAGAGGTAATCAAAGGATTGTGATTGTGCCATCCAGGGCTGGATTATGAAGAAATAAAACAGGATCTTGGTGCTTAGGTCCCACTTACTAGTGAAGCACAAAGCAAAATCACAATATATGTATTTGGGTATTTATTTAATAGTAACAAAATGCTAATATTAACACTGGTATGTTTTGTGTCAAATTTATAAAAAAGTAATGGATATAAAATAAATTTATGGACATGCAAGAATGTCAAAACATTCATATATACTAGCTAGTATGTAGAGTTTATGTATATTAGTATAAGGTAGAATAATATTGCCCATAATTTTATAATTGTTGGAATTAGATGGTAAGTATATAAAAGTTAATATTGTTCTCCACTTTTGTATATGTTTGAAAATTTCTGTAATGTTTTTAAAGTCATAAAAATTGCATACAATAGAAAAAATTTAAATATGAAAATTTGAAAACATAAAGTGTGATTTTAAAAGACTCATCAGTATTTTTATGCTAATATTTCTTTTATTTATTTTTTTGTGTGTGGTATTTTGGGGTTTGAACTCAGGGCCTCAGGCTTGCTAGGCAGGCACTCTACTGCTTGAGCCACTCCACCAGCCCTCTGATGTTTTCAGTGCTACAAAGCTCTTTTGACTCTGCCCTAGTTGGAGGGATGAGTGGATAAGAGTTATAAACTCATGCCTGAATTTGCCCCATCTTCAAGTAGTGTTATAACTTTTGTGTTAAGTTTGTGATGGTGCTTTTGAAAAGCTTTCTTTTTAAGTTGGGGAGTAGGCCAGACCTAAACCCATTTGTTGCTAGCAAGCTGTAGTTCTTAGTTCAGATACTTACATAATATTTGCAATTGTTCTAAACTTACAGACTAAACCTTTGTCATTTTATATGAATTGAACAACTGAGTCATTGCTCTTGAGTTGAAGATGCAATCAAGTCACATTATTAACAACAACAATCTAAATAGTTGATGAGGGGATTTTTTGGGGGGGCGGGCAGTACTAGGGTTTGAACTCAGGGCCTCACACTTGCTAGACAGATGCTCTTCTGCTTGAGCTATGCTGCCAGCCTGGAATTCTCCTTTTAGCTAGATTGTACCAAATAAATGTAGAAAGACTGATAGAATTAGACTACTTTATTATATGTGTTATGTTACCATTTTCCAACTCCAAATGAAATAATGGATCTAAATAGTGATTATCAATAATTGCTACAAACATTAAGAAGGTTAATGGCTGACAGGGAGTGTTATAGTGGATGGGATCACAATGACATTATTTGAGCCCAAAGGTGGATCTTAACAATTTAAAAGGAGACAGAAATAGATATCAGATACATGTTGTTGTGATCCAATAGAAAATATACTGCTGTGAATATTCTTGCCAAAAAAAATGAAACCTGAAATTTTACCAGACATTGAGATCAGATATATCGGTGAGAGAGGAACAGATCACTTAGTTTCTTCAGTGAATAAATGGCAGGGAGAAAAAGAGAGAGATGGTTAAAGATGAAAAGAAAAAAAGCCAGGGTTGGGTGTAGTATGGGGCTATAATACCTGCTACACAGGAGACAGAGGTAGTAGGATCATAGTTCAAGGCCATCTCAGGCAAAGTTAGCAAAAGATCCTTTTTGAAAAACAAACTACAAGTAAAGAGACTAGGGGCACGGCTCAAGGGGTAGAGCACTTACCTAGCAAGTGTAAGGCCCTGGGTTCAATCCTCAGTATAGCAAAAAATAAAATAAAGTGAAATATATATTAAAATATATATTAACCAAATGTAATCATGGACTTTGGATACTGATTTTAAAAAGTCCATTCTGAAACATGTAACAGCTGGACATGATGGTGCATGCCTGTAATCCCAGCACTCCAGAGGATTTCAACTTTGTGCCAGCCTGGGCTACATAGTGAGATCCTGTCTCAAAATGAATGAATGAATGAATGAAATGTAAAACAAAAATGTTTTAATGTGAACAATGACTGGTATTTGATATTAAAAGGAGTTTTTAATTTTTTTTTTATCTTTTGTTGGTACCAGAGTTTGAACTTAGGGCTTTGCACTTGCTAAGCAGACACTACCTCTCGAGCCATGTCCCCAGTCCAATAACTAATTTTTTAAACATTGTGACTTTTTTGGTCTTGTTTCATTTTTGGTTTGATTTCTTTTGGTGTTGGAGAAACAACGCAGGATCTTTAGCATGCTAGGCAAGTGCTCTACCACTAAGCTAGATTCCTAGCCCAACATTCTTAAGTCCGTATATTTTAGAGATACATACTAAAGTACTTATAGATAAAATTATTATATGATTGCTGAGGTTTGCTTTAATAATAAAACCGGAATGAAGAAAGGAATAGAGATGATTATTCATGACTTGGGTGTAGATAATAGTTGATGAGTTGGTAGAGATCAAAGTGGGTGATGGCAATACGTCATTATTTATAGTAAAGCAAAAGTTTTTTAAAAATCAAAATAGAACTAGTGAGATATAGTTCAGAAATAAGAGCATGTGCCTAACATTCACAAAGCTCTGTGCTCAATTCCTAGCACCAGAAAAAAAACCTCAAAATCATTACACCAACAAGAAAAACACAATGTTTGCCAACAGAACAAAGTATTTTTGTTCTTTAAAAATCACATTGGCTGGGTGCTGGTAGCTAATACCTGTAATCCTCGCTACCCAGAAGGCAGAGATCAGGAGGGTTGCAGGTTCAAAGCCAGCCCAGGCAAATAGTTCTTGAGACCCTATCTCTAAAAAAAAAAACCCATCACAAAAAGGGCTGGTGGCTCAAGGTGTAGGCCCTGAGTTCAAACCCCAGTATCCAGGGGCAGGGGAAATCACATTGTAGGGCTGGAGTTATGGTTCAAGTGGTAGAGCGCATGTCTAGCAAGCACAAGGACCTGAGTTTAAACCCCAGCACTACCAAAAATAAATCATACCATATACTAGAAAACATTTGTCTGATATGCCATGAGAATCTCTGAAGAGATTCAGAGGCCACAATGGGATATTAAGTACTTGTTTGTTTCAGGGGTTCTCCTATACTTCTGCCAATAATACTTCAGACTCTTAAGAGTAATAATAATTTTGCTCTGTATTTTCTTTAGAGTTCCACAAACATGTTGAGTTTGACTTCCTTATCAAGGGCCAGTTTCTGCGAATGCCTTTGGTCAAGCACATGGAACTAGAGAACATTTCAACAGTAAGTCCAAGTACTGCCTTCTGTATTTTACTTAAGGCATTACCATATATTGTACAAGCTCCTTATAGAATCAGCCTGAATCTATCCTTAACATTCAAGATTCTTTTGATTGTTTTTTTCCTAGAAATTTGAACTTCAGTTTCTATGTATTTTTAAATCCCTTCTTCTAAGAGTATTCAAGAAAATGCAAGTGAATTAATATATTCTTCACATTTGTGAAAGCATGGGCAAAAAAGGGAATAGGAAATATATATGTACAACTAATACAGGAGTACAAAATAATTGTGCACATATAAAAATTATAGGTTAAGTTATTGTGATGTATTGTGCTTCCTACCCTTCCCCTGATCTTCATATTTTCTTTAATATTACTTTTATAATGAAAATATAATCTATAATTACTTTTACAAATTTTTGGTGATTTTATAAAATTGTGGTAAAATGTAAAATTTACTATTTTTAAGTGCACATCTTAGTGGCATGAAGTACATCCACAATATTGTGCAACCATCCTCAGAACTGTTTCATCAGATTAAAGTGTTCTGTACCCATTAAGCAATATGCTTTTACAACTTTTTTATTTAAAGGTTTCCTTATATTCTCCCCCAATATTTTAGCATAAATGTTTCAACGCTATTAATATTTCTTAATATTATTCTTAGCTTACTGTTAGGCCAAATAAAGGTTTTGATTTTTTTAAATGGTTCACAATGTTCTGGGTTATGAAGAATTGAATATGAAGGTGACACATTTAATTGGGGGTCCTTAGTCTTCATAGTAATATTTTAAAACTGCACCATCTATTTGTTTTCTGGTTTCTCTGTGACTAGGAAGAGGTTGTGGAACTAGAATATGTGGAGAAGTATACTGCACCCCAACCAGAGCAATGCATGTTCCATGACGACTGGATCAGTTCAATTGAAGGGACAGAGGAATGGTATTGCCAGATGAATGTTACTGTATTTTCTTCTGCATGTTCAATCTTTTTAAGTCCACTATGTGAATGTTTTTTCCCTGATTCCTTGTTCTTCGTAAAAGTAAATTTTGTGATATATTATTAGTGACCATGCAACAACAAAAAGATCTTTGCATTCAGTGTATTCAAGAAGGAAATAGTTACCTATTAAGTGTCTTAAAGCATTTATTTGGTTTAAATATGTTGTTTTTAAGACCAGGGATGTAATTTATTTCATAGAGGAAAAAGTAACTTTTATACCCTCAGATTTCCTGGCCTACTACCATGAAGTACCATGCTATTTTAGGACTAAAATGGGCAAACTCGAATCAAGAAAGAAGGTACGGATGGCTCAGTGCAAGTTTGTACTGGCCTTACTTGTAGAAAACACCTCAGGACTAGCATACAGGAGGAGCTTCATCTTTGAAAGAATGAGACCCTGGAATTTTTACACAAGTTATGTTTTTGCTGATTTTACTTTACATGTTTTTGCCTTTTTGTTTTGCTTTGAATATTTTTGTGTGTGTTTTTCCGGTGCTAGGGATTGAACCCAGGGCCTTATGCATACTAGGCAAAGTGCTCTGAGCTACATCCCCAGCCCCGTTTTTCTCTTTAATGATTTTCACAGGTTAATTACAAAGGGCTGTTGGGCTTTATAAGCAATTTGCCTAGCTTCCCTGAGATTTTTATTATTTATAACAATAATAGTGAAATGTAGGGGTTTTAAGTTTTTTTTTACTAGGTCAGAAAAGACAAGTATAATATCTGACTTATCTTAGTATATGTTGAAATCTTCATTTCCATGTTAAAGAAAAGTTTGAAAAGTGTATTCTCCAAGGTTTACTTTGTCATTGCCAAGGAACCACAATTGATTTTCAGGGCTTGAAAAGACCTCGTCTTGTATTTCATAGGATTTTTTTTTTCTCATTATAGGATCTTGACTGGTTCTTATGATAAAACTTCTCGGATCTGGTCCTTGGAAGGAAAGTCAATAATGACAATTGTGGGACATACAGACGTTGTAAAAGATGTAGCTTGGGTGAAAAAAGGTATGACTCTGCTAAAAATAACAGGAATCCTAGATAGGAATTTGGAAATTGGCCATTTTCAGTGGGGGAAGAATGAGGAGTGGATAAGAAATGACTAATGCCTAAGTTATGAGATCTTTTAAAAATAAGTGTTCAAGAAGAAAAGAATTATATTTTTAAGATCCATAAATTGGTAGAAGTGAATTCTTACTAAGATTATATCAAATAATATAAATTTTCAAGTATTATTGAGCATATTAAACAAATACCTTCTATTTTTGAAGACTCTTCCCCTTTTGGGGGGGAAGTTTGAGACAGGGTCTCGCTATGAAGTCCAGGCTGACCTGACACTCACCATCTTCCTGCCTCAGCCTCTCCCCAGTGCTAGGATATAACCATGTGCCATCACGCCTGGTTTAAGACTCCTTTTTATACCATGTTATCTTCTTTTAAAAGCTTCCCATATGAACTCTTTCTAACTTCCACAAAAATTGCTGAATTTTTTGATTTAAGAACATGACATATTTAAAACTTTATGCTAGTTTGTTGTTCTTTCATTCTTTCTTCAGACAGTTTGTCTTGCTTACTACTGAGTGCCTCTATGGATCAAACTGTTCTGTTATGGGAGTGGAATGTAGAGAGAAACAAAGTGAAAGCCCTACACTGCTGCAGAGGTCATGCTGGAAGTGTGGACTCTATAGCTGTTGATAGCTCAGGAACTAAAGTAAGTTGCCACTGTGTTAAGCATCTTAGAAAACATTTTTTTCTACATATATTCCTTATGATTGTCGTTGTTTTATAACAATCAGTGGTTAAAGATTTCAGACCCAAAGTAAACAGTCATACAGTAAGAGCTATGAAGACTCACTTCCAGAATCTGGGTATCTTGGTTGAGAATCTTATGTAAATTATATAATTTTAAAGAAATCAGGTAAACAAGCAATTTTTTTAATGTAAATCATAGTAATAGACATAGCTTTCATCCTTCAACTACTCTTAAATGCTATCATCAATTTTAAATGCCTAAATGATCACCTGAGTCGTGGCATACATAAGGTGAATGCTAATAAACTTTATTTTATTATCAGTGGTGATCTACTCTTTATAACAAAATGGTAAAAGTTAGTTTAAGAGGCACAAACCTAAGAGTAATACTGCATTGACTTATGAAGGGTTATAAAACCTCTTAAAATTTATAAGTTTCTAAAACTAGTTTATTTAATATATAAGAGTATTTCCTTAGTATCTCTTTGCCATTTGGGGTAGCAGATGACATTTGATGCATTCAAAAGTAAAGATTTGTGTGTTAATCCTCAAAAAGAGGATTAACGTGTTGTTGAGTCCAAACTTAGGTGAAATAACCATACCATGTCTTTTGGCTATAGACAGAGGCAAAAACTCATCTATCTTGAACTTGTTCAAACTTAGAAGAAAGTTTATTGGATTGTGATATTCAAAGAAAAAAATAAACGATCATAGCACAAGAAAGGCAATGATATATATTGCAAAGTAAAGGTTTTACAACCAGATAGAAAAAAACCAGGGCAAATAATATGAGTTATATTACATTTGCTTTTCCCCTTCATATATATATCTGTTTAGTTTTGCAGTGGCTCCTGGGATAAGATGCTAAAGATCTGGTCTACAGGTAAATTAAATAATTCTTTGACTTGTTAACAATATTTCAGTGAGTGGATTTTTTTTTTTTTTTTTTTTTTTTGTGGCAGTACTGGGGTTTGAACTAAGGGCCTCACACTTGCTAGGCAGGTGCTCTACCACTTGAGCCCTCAGCCTTTTTTGCTTTAGTTTTTTGTTTTGTTTTGTTTTTTTAATAAGGTCTAACTTTTATGTCCAGACTGGCCTAGACCTCAGTCCCCATATTTACACTTCCTGTGTACCTGGGATGCCAGGTTCACACCACCACACCAGCTTTTTATTGTTGAGATGGGATCTCATTTTTTGTCTGGGCTAGCCTTGAACTATGATCCTCCAGATCTCTACATCCTGAGTAGCTAGGATTGTAGGCTTCAGCCACCATGTCCACCTCAGTGAGAGGACTTTGTAACCCATATTTTCTTAAAAATAGAGTGGAGCATTTTGGGATATATATATAAAGGGACATATGGTAACATATTAGTATATTTCTTTGTGCTTTAAGATTTTTTTTATTCTTTTAGCTCCATCACCCCTTTGTTTATTGGACAAGATCTCTGAATTGCTGCAAGTATTAAAATGTTTGGTGTAATGCAATATAACTACCTTAATTCTCAGAGTTCCTTTGAGAATCTGGAATAAACAAAAATACCTTTTGAATAATTTTGACTCATTTTAAGTCATTTGAAAATGACTTTTGATTCATTTTACTGTTACTGGATTTTTGTTGTTGTTTTTACAGGAATTTCTTAGTTAAAGAAAAAAAAAACAAACTATTTAATGCAGTTTTACCAAGGTTAATATTCTTACTTTGAAAACATAGATTAAAAAAACCAACTGAACAGACTGGATATGTAGCTCAGTGATAGAACAGTTGCCTAGCATTCACACAGCCCTGAGGGGTTTGATCCCTTGCCCCACAAAAAAAATTTTTTTAAAGAGAGGAAGATAAAACAGACACACACAGATATTCAAGTTTTAAAACCTAGTAACTAGAACTATTTACTGCACAGATAAAAAGACCAGACTATCTCCATTACTTTGAGGGAGTTGCTGTTTTACAGTATAATACCCTAAATAGAGTTTACAAAGTAAAGTAGAGATGAGGAGGATCAAGAAAAGCTTAACCAGTTTTAAATAATTATGTGTAAGATGTATTTTATTAGATTTTATAAAATTCTTAAAGCAAATAATTTTGAAGGAGAAGGAAGTTTAGAAAATTTTCCTTTTGAGAAATATTTGTTGATAGTACTGGATAAAGGAGATACTATTTGTGATTAGCCATTACCTTAAGGGGTTTATAACCTAGTAATATCAGTTATAAAATATTAAGGGGCTTACAATCTAGTAAAAAAAAGTAACATTAAAATCTGTAGTTTTCAATCTGAATGTGCTACCTAACCAAATAAATGGTGCATAATAACAAAAGTTTTTTTCTTTGTTTTTATGGTACTGGTGTTAAAACCTAGGGCCTCATGCTAGGCAAGCACTCTTTAACACTAGGCTATATCCCTAGTCCTATAACAGATTTTTTTTCTTTTGACAGTACTAGTATTTGAACTCAGAGCCTTGTTCTTGCTAGACAGGTGCTCTACCAATTGAGCCATGCCTCCAGCCCAAATGCTCTGCTTAATGGCAGAGCATTTGCCTAGCATGCCTGAGGCCCTGGGTTTGATCCTTGGCAGCACAAACTAGAACAAAAACTATGAAGCACTTTCTTTGTTAGAAAAAGGAAGCTGTCAAGGAGAATAAACATGGCTAAAATACATCTCCTTTTAACATTGTTTATATTATTATCTCTTGCAATATATAAATGCAACCTGGTCATAATTCCTAGAACTAACTGTAAGAAGTTTTTCATATGGTAAAGTGACCCATATTCATAATGATGATCTTAAAGACAGCCAGAGTTCAAAGTGGTTGGTTTTTAGTTTTCTAATATACCGTATTTTTGCTTTTTCATTTTTGAAGATTGTTCGTCCAGATATTTTTATATGTAACTTTTTGTAAGTCAGAATGATAAGGAATACCCCAATCAGTGAAATAACACAGAAAAACTGGATACCCAGCAATGCAAAAAAAAAAAAAACTTTAAGGTAGTTTGAATTAATATTGACTTAAATTTTTCAAACATCAAATCTAATTCTTTATGATACAGTCCCTACAGATGAAGAAGATGAAATAGAGGAATCCACAAATCGACCAAGAAAGAAACAGAAAACAGAGCAGTTGGGCCTAACAAGGGTAAGTATTAGTGAAAAGTGACTGTACTTGGCTTATGTCTGTATTGCTGAGTAATTCAATATAATCTTTCTTTATATTTCTTTATGTCTTATCTTGCTTCTTCAATTATAATTATGCTTTCTTTCAACAAGTTTGTAAATTTTTATAAAAAACTATACTGTTGTTACATTTATCTGTGTCTGCATGTGGAAGCATTGAACAAGGCTTATGAATTGGTAAGCATCCTATGGTACATTCTGAAGATCTTTTAATTGTTAAAGGTTCTACTATAGTTCAGTGAAGTATCTAATTACTGACTGCTTAGTAATATTATTTGTTTCATGAACTAAAGATTGAGTTTTTTGTTTTTTTTTGTTTTTGTTTTTTTTTTGCGACACTAGGCTTTGAACTCAGCTTCAAGCTTGCTAGGCAGGCCCTCTACCATTTGAGCCATACCTCCAGCCCTTGAGAATATAATTCTTAGTAGGAATGAATGATAGTTATATACTAAATCACCAGAAACCATGAGTTTAATTTGGGATTTTAATTCTATCATTTAGCTGTTACATGCTATGAAATTAATTTTTTTAGCTATTTGTTTTGTTTTTGATTTTGAACTTACGATCCTTTCACCTTATCCTCCTCAGTGCTGAGCTTATAGGGATGAGCCACCATTCTCAGTTTTATTTTAACTTTAAAATTTTTTCAACTAGGTATGGAGGCTCACAACTATACTAGCTCCTCAGGGTCTGCAATCCCAACTACTCAGGAAGACTGCAGTCCAAGGCCAGCCCCAGGCAAAAAGTAAAACCTTGTCCGAAAAATGTAGCAAAAGGGGCTGGAAGTGTAGCTCAAGTGGTAGACTGCTTGCCTGCCAAGCACTAAGCTCTGAGTTCAAACCCTAGTACTGTCCCCCAAATTTTTTTAATTGAGTGCATTTCAAGTTGTATAACATGATTAGATGTACATATGCATTAGGTAATGATTAAATTAACATATCTATCATACCCATGGTTCATTATATACCCAGAACTTACTCATCTTAAAACAAAGTCTGTACCCTTTGAACATTTCCTCATTTCTACCACACCTTAGCCCCTGGCTGTCACTTTTCATTTTTACTCTCTGCTTCCATGAGCTTGGCTTTTCATCCATATTCTTTTTTTTCCCCCCAATTTTATTCTGGTAACAGAAATACCATGAAGTTTACCATCTTAAATTTTTCTTTGCAGCATTGCCTGATCAAACCCAGGGTCTTGCACATGCTTGGCAAGTGATCCACTGTACTACATTCCCCAGCCCCATCTGAACCATTTTTAACTATATAGTTCAAAGATAATAAACACATTCACAGCATTGAGCAAGCATCACCACTACCCACTACCCTCACTCTGTCATCTTGTAAAACTGAAACTCTCTACTCATTAAAAAAATAACCTCCCTCCTTTCATTCCTCTGACAATATCATTCTAATCTTTGTCTCTATGATTTTGACTACTCTAAGTGAGGCACTCTTCTACTTGGCCATACCCTCACTCTTTTTTGCTTTTTTAGTTACTTTTCAGATAGGGTCTTGCCTTTGCCTGAGCTTCTCTGGGACCACATTTGTCCTAGCCATAACTCACATAACTACAATTACAGTTGTGTACCATCACCCTTGAACCCAAAAAGATTTCTTGAGTTATAAAAACTCTACTGGAGCCAGGTGTGGAGGAAGGGAGCTACTGACTTAGCCTCCTAGAGGCTGTAGACCTAGAATAGTCATGAGGAACATGACTGCTCCACTAGAAACTCAGATGAGCCCAACCACAACCCCAGGTGAGCCAATAGTTTCTCTCAGCAAGAAATTAAAACACTGGAGGAAGATGAAGAGGTATTTTTTAAAACACAGGCCAAGCTATTCCAATTTGCTTCAAAGAATGACCTTCCAGAATGGAAGGAAAGAAGCCCTGGTAATGTCAAGCTCCTAAAGCACAAGGGAAGAGGGATGGTCCAGCTCCTTATGAGGAGGGACAAGACTCTGAAGATTCCTGCCAGCCACTATATCACGCTTGGGACTGAAGTTGACGCTGGCAGCAACCATATCTGGATCTAGAACAGTCATGCTGAAATTTTTTTTTTTTTTTTTTTTTGGTGGGACTGGGGTTTGAACTCAGGGCCTCACACTTGCAAAACAGGTGTTCTACTGCTTGAGCCACTCCTCCTCATGCTGACTTTTCTGATGAGTGCCCCCAACTGGTGCTGCTTACCATCTGCATCCTAAATGCTGAGAATGCACAAAAATTGAAATCCAAGTTTAGGAATTCAGGAAAGAGGTCAAAGAGAAAAAAGAAAGGACTGGACAAAAAAAAGAAAAAGAAACGCCTTTGAAACCTGGAAAAAAATATTCTTTACGGAGAAAGTTTTTTTTCCTTTTCTTTTTAATTGAAGTTTTCCATACATATAATAAAGTCCACAGCGTGAGTATGCACCTCAGTGAATTTTTATACATGTATATTCCTCAAACCAAAATGTAGGAATTACTGTACCCCAGAAGACTCCCTCTTGCTTTCCTTGCAATCAATAGCCCCCCACAAAGGTAAATAGTCTTAGATTGGTTTCATTTACTTTTGTTAGTTTGTTTTGATAGTGTTGGGGTTTGAACTCAGTACTTTTTGCATTTGCTCGGCAGGTACTTCTCCAATCAAGCAATACCTCCCAGCTCTTTTTGCTTTAGCTGTTATTCATACAGGGTCTGCTTTTATGCCCTTGCCAGCCTGGACCTCATTCTTTCCATGTATGTTTGTTTCCCGTGTGGATGGGATGAGAGGTGTGTACCACCATGCCCAGCTTTTGTTAGTGGGGGGAGGAGGTCGCCAAAACTTTTTTTTTTTTTTTTTTGTCCAGATTGGTCTTGAACCAAGATTCTCCCAGTCCCTGTCTCCCAAGTAGCTAGGATTACAGCTGTGAGCCACCACACCCAGTAGTTTCACCTACTTTTAAATTTCATGTATCTAAAATTGATTCTTTAATAGAGCATTCACTTGCATGAATGTACCATAATTTTTCCATTCTTCTTTTGATGGACATTTAGGTTATTTACAGTTATAGGCTACTATAAATAAATCTTTCTAAGAAAGCTCTTACATTTGTAATTTTGGATTACATATGGAATCATTCTTCATATGTAGATTGGCAGAAACAATTGCTGGGTCACACAGGGTGTACATATGTTATGTTTGCTGGATGTAAGAGGTTATCAGAATAAATTTCCAAAATGGGTTAAATCATTTTTCATTTTATTTAACAGTATGTGAATGTTAAAAGTGCCTTTTTTTTTTTTTTTTTCAGTCTTGGGTTTTGACCTCAGGGCCTTGCCCTTGCCAAGCAAGCACTGTGCCACTTCAGCCATGCCCCTAGTGATACCAACCTTTTAAAGCTATGATTGACTTCTATCATGTAACATATGCTTACATTTGCTCTTATTTTTAAGAGGAGATCTCAAGATGTTGCCCAAGCTGGCCTTGAACTCCTTTGCTCAAGTGATTCTCCTGCCTCAGCCTCCAGGGTAGCTGAGACTACAGGCATGTCCCACTATACCCAGCTACACATCTAAATCTAAAAAAAAAAAAGGTGTCATGTCATCTATTTTTGGGGATGTATGATAGGACCCTAACTCTTTGATAATCAATTGTGAAATGCCCGTTCATACTGGTAGCCCATTTTTAAAAAGTTATTTTTCCTGTCTTTTTTATTAACTTGCAAAAGTTCTTTATTCTAGATTCAAGTTCTTTGCTGGATATATGTATTGCAAGTTTTTTCTTCCATTTTATTGAAGAGAAATAATAGTCTATTCATTTTCGCATTTAGGTTTTTATAGGGCTTAAACTCATACATTCATAAATTAAGAATTGAAGTCTTGCCAAGAAACTCTTGATGCACTAATTATAGTGAAACTGTTGCCTTTAATTATAAACAGAAAAAAATTTGGATTTAAAAAATGGGATAAAACATATATCAATAGATGGTCTTCTCTGTACTCCTTCCCAGTACCTGACTTGTATTAATATGAGGAATGCTGCCAGTTGATCTATCATTTGCTTCATATATTAACATAAGTAAGGTTTCTTCCTGTATAACTCTCAAAATTGCTTTTTTCCTCCAATACTATTCCACTTTAGTTATAGAAACACTGCTAGTGTTGACTTTCTACATAGCTCTTGAGTTTCGGTAAGTGCCTAAAATCATGTAACTACTGTACAATCAAGGTGCAGAATAATCTATTGTTCCTCAAAACTCATGTTGCCCCTTTGTAGCCAACCCTCTTCTCATGTCTACTCCTTTACAACCATTGATCTGCTCTCTGTTCTCCACCAAATTTTCTTTTTCCAGGATATCATATAAGTGGAAGCACACTTACAGTCCTGCAAGGCCCTTTTCACTTAGCATAAATTATTTGAGATTCATCCATGTTGGTGAGGATATCAGTGTCTTTTTTTTTTTAAGATGCTGAGTAGGTACTGGGGCTTGAACTCTGGGCCTACACCTTGAGCCACTCTACCAGCCCTTTTTTTATGATGGGTTTTTCTGAGATAGGTCCTCACAAACTATTTTCCCTGAGCTGGCTTTGAACCTCCTGATCTTCTGCCTCCTGAGTCACTAGGATTATAGGTGTGAACCACTGGTGCCAGGCCAGAGTGGGATTCTTTTGTATGGATATACCACAGTTGTCTTAATCATTCACAAGTTGAAGGATAGTGGGTTGTTTCTGGTTTGGCAGTTATGAATAAAATTGGTATTAGCATTATGTTCAGTTTTTTTTGTGAACCTGTTTTCCTGTCTCTTGATTTACTACCTAAGAATGGGATAGCTAATTCATTTAAGTTTGCCTGTTGTTTCTACCATGTCATTTTCTTTCCTAGGGGCTTACTTTTACTTTTCATTTTGTTGAAGAGCACATCAGAGGTTGTTCTATTCCTCATTTCTCTAGCAGGTTCCTTTTCTTCTTTCAAGAACATTTTAGAGCTGAAATAGACTTTTACATCATTTGATCCAGGGGTTTGCGAACTACAACCCAACAACCAATTTGGCTGTCACTTATTTTTATATTATAAAGAGCTAAGAATGTTTTTTTACATTTTTAAAGGGGTTATAAGAACAAAAATATACAACTGCATGTGGCCTGCTAAGGTTAAAATATTTACTTGCTGACCTTTTAATAAAAAAGTTTGCTCCCTGATCTAGCATAACCCCTCCTATTACAGATCAAGTAATATTTAAGGAGGTTAATTATAACAGTTACAAAGTAAACTGCCTCCCAACCTCTAATTCTTTTCTTTTCTCTCTTACATTTCCCTTATATTTAAGACAGGGACTGTTACCAGTTTGGGCTTTTAATTTGAGAAAGACATTATAGATTTTTAGGTATTAATAAATGAGCTATGGACATTATTTAAAGATTAAATAATATGACTTAAAGATGCTGAGGAAAAGAGGCAGTAAGAATAATGTATTGAGATTAATATACATGGAGGAAGCATATAGAAGTTGGCAGTACCTCAACTCAAACTTATATCCATCTGACCCCAAATCTTTTTCTACTAGCTGGGGAGTGGGTTCACTAATAAATGATCCCCAAGAGAGGACTCCCACTGCAAGGATGGTAAAGATCATCCCTGTACCTACCAATAGAAATAGGAGTCTGAACAGTCTGAACACTTCCATCCACTGCATCCTGAGCTCCGGTTTTACTAATTTCCTAAGGCCAGTAAGACAGAACACATTTATATGCAATGTTATATAAAATGGTCTTACAGATAGGCAGCAGGGGCCAACAAAAGGCCCCTGTCATCAGTTGGTCTCTAAGGCTCAAGAAAGCTGTCTGGAGTGGATAGAGTCTTAACTCTGTACTCCTCTTGCAGCACAGCTGAGGCCTTGGGTTTTAAGCCCCTGGGTCATGAGACTCACTGGGCAATGCTTTGAAGGGCATCCTGTTTCTAGGAGAGACTGGCACAGAGCCAAGGCTGTTTTGGTCAGTCCCTCGCTATCTCAGGATGTTACGTTCCCAGCACATCCTATAGTTAATCTGAGAACTCCAGGCAAGAAGAACACAAAAGAGATTGGGTCAAAGACCATGTGGGGACTGTATGATACTAAACTTTAATATTTGTCACTTGGGAGAGTTAGTGTTTTATTGTTCAAAATGAAAAATAGAACAGATGAAGAAGTACTAGGCTTTAGTGGAAAGGCAAGAAACTCTGGGGCAATATTTGGGTTCACACTTAAGTCTGCTACTTATAAACTGTTTGACTTGGGCAAGTTAAAAACAGAAATATCCACCTTGGAGAAATAAAACAACTGGCAATATATCTGGTATGTGGGCTTTGAAAATTAATAGCTGCTCTTGTTTCAATTACTCCAAAATGAAAATGTTTTCCCTTTTGGGGAATCTCATTTCTAGACTCCCTTGGTGACTCTTTCTGGCCACACGGAAGCAATATCCTCAGTACTGTGGTCAGATGCTGAAGAAATCTGCAGTGCATCTTGGGACCACACAATTAGAGTGTGGGATGTTGAGTCTGGTGGTCTGAAGTCAACTTTGGTAAGACTTAATTTCAGTGGTCCTCTTGATTAACTTTGGTCTTTTAAATGAGAAACTTCTAGAAATTGGTACTTTTAGCCCATCCTGGTTAAATGTTCTTTCCTTCTCTTTTTCAGACTGGAAATAAAGTATTTAATTGTATTTCCTATTCTCCACTTTGCAAACGTTTGGCATCTGGAAGCACAGATAGGCATATCAGACTATGGGATCCTCGAACTAAAGGTGAGTTATATCCCGTGGTGAATGTTTGAAAACATTCTACATGTTTAAAAATGTATTTCTACAAATATCTTTAGGTTTGTTCTCTTTTCCAAAATTTAATACTTCTTATCTTTTTTGCTTTGCCAAGATGGTTCTTTGGTGTCGCTGTCCCTAACTTCTCATACAGGCTGGGTCACATCAGTAAAGTGGTCTCCTACCCATGAACAGCAGCTGATTTCAGGCTCTTTAGACAACATTGTCAAGCTGTGGGATACAAGAAGGTAAATCCTTTTAGTCTATACAACAAAGACCGCAATTACTGTTATATACAGAAAAAGAGGTACTAGAAAGATTATCTGAACCCAAAAGGATAAAAGAAAAGTTCTTGGTTATGCTATCTAAGATGAATATTCATAAAAACCCAGGATCGAAGGCATTTTATTCTTGTTAACATGTTTTTTTAACATCCTGAAGAATCTAATTCCATGTTACTTCACTGTAAGAACAAATTAAAAAAACAAGTCCCCAGTTTATAACACCCATGTTTTTGACTTTGTTATAAAACAGGAGAAAAATAGTTTAGAAATATTATCATGAGCCTTAACATAAATTATTTTAAAAATTAAATAAAATACATATCTTTAAAGATAATTAGAGATTTAAGGTGTCTTCCTTATTCATAGGCTAATACCGTGATAATAGTGTACAGACAGTCCCCAAATAAAATGCACACACAAACTTATATATATTTACAAGTAGCAGAGATATGTTAACAAAATACCCGTTTCTGTATATTGCTATTATTTTCTCCTTAAATCTGTCCTCTAATATCTTTATATTACCTTATGATACATGACTTGTTAACATCTAGAAGATGTATACATTTTGATTGACATTTTATATAGCAAATAACATAGTTTCTGATAATAGTAGTCGGCACTATAAACAAAGTAAAGCAAGGTAAAAGGACACTTCTTTAAGGAAGGCCTCTTTGAAAATGATATATTAGTAGCAAACTGTACAATATGAAGTATGAGCCATGCACATATCATGACAGGGGTAACAGTAAATAAGGTGGAAAGAATTTTATCATACTGGAAAAATAGCAAGAAAGCCAGTGTTGGTGAAAGAATTAGCAAAGAGGGGAATAGTAGGACATGAGGCAGGTAATGTCAAGCAGGACCTGACAAGTTAAGGTAATCAGTTTGGGTTTCATTCTAAATGTGATGGCAAGGCTTTGAAGGGTTTTCAGCAAGGAAACAAAGGCAGAAATAGGATATTGTTGAAATTTAAGAGACAGTTAATGGTAACTTAGACTGTGGTGGTACCATTAGAGCTAAGTAGTTGGGTGCTAGGTATATTTTGAAGATAGCTTTTTGGTGACATATAGATTAAGTGTAGAAATAGGAATCAGGGAATAACATCCACATTTTCTGCCTGAGCAGTTGACGGTGGTATGACTTAATGTGATTGGAAAGAGTAGAAAAACATGTTTGTGAGGGAAAAGTCAAGAGTTTTGATTCAACTGTTTTAAATTTCTAGTGCCATTAAGTCGTTAGCCATGATTTGGGGGTAAAATTATAGAAAGAAGTGTAAATGTGGGCCTAATTAATTGTAAGTAAATGTTTATAATTAAATAACATTTTTCCTGAATGTATTTGTTGTAATAATCTCTATATTCTGCTAATGCTATAGGAAAACCAGGAGAGCTGGTGAAGTAAATACTCAGAATTTTAAGATTAAGTGGTTATTGAGGCAAGAATGGCAAAACCTAAAAAGTTTTCAGAAAAGTGTTTGTAATTACTGATGTTTGTTTGAATACATGAATGCATGTAACATGTTAATATTCTCATCTTTTAGTTGTAAGGCTCCTCTGTATGATCTGGCTGCTCATGAAGATAAGGTTCTAAGTGTAGACTGGACAGACACAGGGGTAAGAATGTGTTAGGTGTTTGGTAAAGAGGAAAATAATATTATATAATATTATAATATTATAATCTGGCATTTATAACTGCTTTCTACAAAGAAATCTCATCTCATTCAAAGAAGAAACAAATTTAGGACTGGGGGTGTGGCTCAAATGATAGAGCACTTACCTAGCAAGCATGAGGCCCTGGGTTCAATACCCAATACCACAAGAAAAAAGAAACAAATTTGTCCTCTAACAGTAACAGTAATAAAATTTGAAACAGTTTTCTCATGAATATTTTAATGAAACTACTACCCAGGCCAATTGTTTCAAAGTATTTACCAGTCAGTTATTTAATAATAATTAAGTAGTTTATTATTTATGTATATACAAAAGCTCTTATTTCCTAAGAATTCTTTCCAAATACAAGTGTCCTAGGGCTATAAGAATAATTCGCAATATATATTTGCCTGCAAACAATTATTGCACTTTTAAAAACTTTTGGATTTTGGGCTGGGTGCATGGCTGAATTGGTAGAGCACCTGCCTATGCAAGCATTAGGCCTTAGTTCAAACCCCAATACCACCAAAAATAAAAAAACCCTGACTAAAACCATGTTACTTTTCAAGTTGTTTTGGTTTATTTCATGGCTTCCCAGTGCTTTGTGGAAAGCATGATAACATACTGTGCCTCAACCACAACAATGGTTTATTGTTTTCATGCACCGAATCATAGTGCTGATTGAGTGACCCCTTATCTGACAGCCTTGTCAAATTTTGGAATATTTGCTCATATATGAGATCTTGGAGCTCATATGTGTGCAAAAAATTCTTTTTTGTTTCTTGTATAGCTTAACATATAGACTGATGGTAACTATAAAATATTTTGAGTGCACCTGTGTTTTGACTGTGACATAAGGTCAGGCATGGAATTTTCCACTTGTGCCATCATGTCAATGCTGAAAGATTATGGAGTTTTGATTATTTTGGGATGGCAGATTTTTTGTGTGTGGGGGGGGGATTGTTCATTTGTTTTGTTTTGGGCTTTTTTGTGATGCCAGGGCTTAGCCCAGGGCTTTTATGTATGCTGAGCATGCACTCACTCTGCCACAGAACTCCACCCCCAGCCTAGATTGTAGTATTTTGGATGTTCAACCTGCAAGCAGTGAAACTTACTTGAAATGGTCCCTTTAAGTACTAACTTTCAATGCAAGTTATCTGCCTGTTTATATAATTCCTTTCATAATCAAAATTATCAATACTTAATTAGGTTTAACTACCATATGAAATAACTATTTATGTTTTATTGTATTTTTCTCTTTCTTTACACAGCTACTTCTGAGTGGAGGAGCAGACAATAAATTGTATTCCTACAGATACTCACCTACCACTTCCCATGTGGGGGCGTGAAAGTGAATAATTTGATTATTGAAACTGTTTATATAGATGAAATTGGTAAAGAATCAGATTACATTGATGCTGACGCAGAAAGCAGACTTTTAGATTGAACTTTGCATAATGGTTTCATTCTTCATAATAATTAACATATTACTGTCTTTGTTTTCTTTCTTTTGTGTTTGTAAAAACTAATATTTGGCCTGCATTTTCTACCCTCTGCCGACTCTAAAATTAAAGTGGTTTGAACTTTAATTTTTAACTTTTTTTTTAACTTTAAAAAAAGATTTGCTTTTGAAATGCTTTAAAAGAATATATTAGAAATATAGTAATTAAGACTGAGGCATGGCCTACCTAGCAAGTGTAAGGCCTTGAGTTCAAACAGTACCACCAAAAAAAAAGAAAAAATACACTAGTTATCCATGTTTTTATTTTTTGGGGTTTTTTAGTTGGTTGTTTTTTTTAAAAAAAGGAAGAAAACATTTAGAAAAGACTAAAAAAAATGTTATGGGAAATATTAGAAATTCAAATGTTTTTTGGCAAAATAAGTAACATTCATACGAAAATAAGACAACATTCAGAACATTAGCAAATGTGGATGTTACCAATTTGTAAAGATTTCATTGAGCTATTTTATTTATTTATTTTTTTTATTTTTTTATTATTCATATGTGCATAGAAGGCTTAGTTCACTTCTCCCCCCTGCCCCCACCCCCTCATTGAGCTATTTTACATGAAATGTTTCATATGAAAAGTTAAGTCAGAGCCAGGAGCCATCCACTAACAAGACCCCATCTCCAAAATAATCAGAGCAAAATGGAGGTTTGACTCAAGCAGTAGACCACATGCTTTACAAGCACAAAACCCTGAGTTCAAACCCCAGTCCCATCAGAAAAAAAAAGGTAGATCTTTTTAGAAATTGCATATAGATTTCACCAGGTATATCCTTTCCCTAATCTATCCTCGTATATAGATAAGAATAAATTCTTTACACAAAACCTTTCAGTCAGTATTAGATAAACATTCTATATGTAAGTTATCTTTTTTTTGAACTTACGACATTGAGCTTACTAGGCAGATAACTACCACTTGAGCATGCCTCCAGCCTATCATTTATCTTTATATATATATATGTTGTATACAAAATACTTTAAGTATCTGTTTAAAATGTGACTTGCATCTTGAATGGGTTGATATTCTTCAAGAATCCTTTCAATACACAGGATTAGATTCCATTGTAACAAAATATATCTCAAATGATGTTCCCGGCAAAGGTCTAGATGACGAGCCAGATTACCCATGGATTGAACCAGTTAGGAGTCTTGGGATTGTATTAGAAGTCCAGGGCTGTTGAGGGCTAGAGTAGTGGTTTTTGTACACTTTCCTTAGGGACCCTGGTTCCCTCCACCCCTAGGATATGAACCTCATTTTCACATAGACCAAGAGCTAAACCTCCAGTTAATCACATCAAAAGAAAAAAAGTGAGTAAGATAGCCAGAAAATTCACACACAAAGTCCTTGGTTTTTTTTGTGCCATGACTAGTGGAAATTTCATTATTTCTGTGGTCTCTGGACCCACCGTTACTGTCAGAGAACAAAAATGAATTCGTAATCCTGTTTTGGGTGGTCTCTGATTAAACTTTGTGGGGCAGGTATTTAAAATACCTTTCTTAATCCAGCTATCCAGGGCTGATCAAATGTAATATGCATATACTAGGTAGTTAAAAGAGGCCTGTTATTCAGATGGAAAGAAGAAAGTGGCATCTATAACTGATCTTACTTATTCTCAATCCTGGATATACTCATGGTTCCAGCATTCTCCCTTGGGATGGATGTAACATTAGTGACCAGGTGTCGTAGACAAGGACTGCATTTCTGCAAGACTCCTCTCCTAGGGTAACTCAAGTATTAGATGTTATTCCCTAAACAAGAAGGAGGCCAACAGAAGCCTGGAAGATCCAGTCCTTTCATATCACATTGTTCTTCCATTTCCTCAAAAATCTGGAGACTGCCTTTCAATGGTCCCATTTCCTTAAGTAGAGACTGCAGTTACCCAGGAGGTGGGTGCCTTCCATATGTACTCATTTGGAAAAATAAATGGAGCTACTTTCTTTCCCAGCACTGACCAGTAGGGGATTATTTATGCTGTCTTGCCATAGTAATGGAGCCATAAACATGTTGATGCCAGCTCTCTTACCTCATCTAACAAATTGCCTTTCTTACTGATGAACAGTAAACATCGTAAATTTAAAATTAGGCTTGGCTGGGGGCATGGCTCAGTGGAAGAGTGCCTGCTTAGCATGCATGAGGGTGCTGGGTTACCCTAGCACCCTCACAAAATAAAAAGAAATACAGGTGTGTATGCCTAATTGAATAAGTTACTTCAAGATAAAGGGTTATAAGCCAGGCACTGGTGGCTCACGCCTATAATCGTAGCACCTCAGGAGGCAGAGATCAGGAGGATTGTGGTTTGAAGCCAGCCTAGACAAATGTTCTCAAGACTCTCGAAATACCCTTCACAAAAATAGGGGTGATGGAGTGGCTCAAGGTGAAGGCCCTGGGTTTAAACCCTAGTACCTCAAAAAAATTTAAAAAATATATATATATATACACATACACACACACACACACACACATACATGTGCATCTGCTGTGTGTAGGAAAGGGGGAAAAGCACAAAAGTGTGCAAAACATTGACAGTATCTTCAAAAACAACACTCAGCTGGGCATGGTGGCACACATCTATAATCCCAGCCACCAGGGAGGTGGAGATAGGACTGTGGTTCAAAGCCAGCCAAGACAAAAAAAAAAAAAAAAAAAAACCCAGTAAGACCCTCTCTCTCCAAACAAGCTGGGTGAGGTGTTGAACTTGTCTTAGCTACTGTGGAGGTAGATGATTACAGTTCAAAGCTGGCCCTATCTAGAAACAAACTAAAGTTAATATTTTGTTACATGAACTGAACACAACCATAGTAAAGTTTGTTGTAGTTCAGTTGATTAGAATCAGCACTCCATTGATATTGCAGATTTAAAAGAGTAAATTATTTTCTTGTGTAATCTATAAAAATGACAACTATTTCACCAAAACAATCTGCTAACAAGGTACTGAAATTTAGTGGGGGAACACTGGAGTTTGAACTCAAGGCATTGTTGCTAGGCAGGCTCTCTACCACTCTACCACTTGAACACCACACACACCCCAACTCTTTTTAGCTTTAGTTATTTTTCAGATAGGGTCTTGAGATTTTGCCTGGGCAGGCCACAGACTGCAATTCTCCTACCTATGACTCCCCCATAGCTGGGATTATAGACGTGCTCTGCCACTCAGGGCTTGGTTGAGATGGGGTCTTGGTAACTTGCCCAGGCTGGCCTCAAACCATAATCCTCCCAATCTCTGCTTCCTAAATTGCTGAGATTACCCAGGCCCCTTCTTAAAGAAGAAGATATGTTTTTGAACAGCCATACTGCCAGTAAATGGCAATGTGAGGATTTCAACATAGATTTAGCCAAGTTTCAAGTTCCAGATTTTAACTAGTAAAACTGTTCCTCAGGTCCCTATATAAAATAGTGTCCTATTTGCATATAACCTATAACACACCCTCCCATATTCTCCAAATCATCTCAAGATTACTTAAATAGCTTACCTTTGAACACCATGGGGGCTAGGTGTCTCAACCTCCTTGTAGTCAAAAATCCATTTATAACCTTTGATCCCCAAAAACCTCAACTACTGGTACCCTGCTATTGTCTGGAAGGCTACCAATAACTTAAAACAATTGATTAACTTATTTAATGTCGTGTATTATATACAGTGAAATATACCTAAGAACCATCCTTCTATTGAGAGGTGCAATTTACTGGAGAGAGAAACTCAGGTAGAAGAGATTAACATCACAGCATTTTAAATGGCTGCTGTATGTACTACAGTTAACAGTTGTTCAACACAACTTCTTTACTAAATCTGTTTACTTGGCTATAAATGGCACTATATATGGTAAGTGTAAATTTTAATAAACAATTTAGTAGCAAAATGAGACCTTCATGACATAACCTTTTTCTTAATTTGTTTTTATATTTCTCAGCTACACATTTTTTTCTTTTTTTAATTGTTGAAAATGTCCAAAAGGGCTCTGGACTTGGCTAAAGTTATACAGCACTTGCCTAGCAAATGTGAGGCCCTACATTCAATGCCCAGTACTGTAGGAAAAAAAAAAAAAGATTAAAATCTTAAAAAAAAAAAATCCACATAAAAGTGGACCTATGGAGTTCAGACGTATGTTGTTCAGGGTCAGCTGTAGCACAGCATTGTGGCGCACGTCTGTAATCCCAGCTACTCTGGAAGTGAAGGCAGGAGGATGGTGAATTTGAAGCCAGCCGTGCAAAGGTAGTGGCAAGACCCTGTCTCAGAAACAGCAACGGTTGAGGGTGTAGCTCAAGGTAGGACGTGTTTGGCCCCTGAGTTCATTCCCAGCACCACACACGCACAGACCCCAACTGTAATACAACGTAAATGCTCAAGTAAATACTGGGGATGCTGTATTGTTTAGGATGATGACAAGAAAAAGTCTGTGCTTGTTCAGTATAGATAGAATTTTTTCCCCTGAACATTTTCTATCTAAAATTGGTTGAATGACAGAATTGGAACCTGATACGGAAGCCAACTGTACATATTTTGTCTTTTTTTCCTGTGGTGCTGGGGATCCAACCCAAGGGCTTGGGCCCAAGTATGCTAAGCAAGCAGTCTATCACAGTTAACCACAACCCTGCCAATTCTTATGTGATGCACAACAGTGTTTATTTTTTGTTTTGTTTTTGGCAGCACTGGGGTCTGAAGTCAGGGCCTCACGCTTACTAGGCAGGCACTCTACCACTTGAGTCACTCCGCCAGCCCAAGAACGTTTTTTTAAGTGTAAAGAATGAGTGCAAAAATGTTTTCCCCTACATAGAAAATATATATAAATTTAAATGGCATTTATTGGTATAAAATTACCATAATGATAATATTGTTTTGCATGCTCTTGCTTTAAAATTAATTTTAGTATATCACTAAATATAAATATATATCACTAGATATAAGTATATACTTTAAAGAGGCATTTCTGTATTTTCCTATAGGAATTGTACATGAGCAAAAACAAATTATCTTATTATTCATTCATTTAACTGAATTATATTATTAAAAGAAACCACAATCCAGACGGGTGAAGTACCTAGTTCAAAAGTATGTAGTCATTTAGCAATGGGGGCTAAGAGACATACTGAGTGATTAAAGACTACAGAGGCCAGGTGCTGGTGGCTCACACCTGTAATCCTA